TCTAGCTCTATCAACACAAAACAGTAACAATAGTACATAGGTGTTGACAATTAATTACGTCAATAAAATAGGAGGAAGGGGGGTCTGAACTTTTTTGACAATTGTTGATAAGGGGGAGGGGGGAGGTCAATTAAAGTTGATGTCAGCAGTTTTTTTTTTTTTGAGTTTTATTGCTTAAATAACGGAAAAATAGGCTGAGTTTGCAGCGTAGCTTCTTTGTATACGGGGGGTAATCAAAAATTGACTTAATTTTATAGGAGGGGGGGGGGTGGTGAATGGACAGCCCCATAACATAAAATATTTGTAAGCACACATTACAGATACTATTATGTCTCAAGACTAATAAGACAACAAAATCTAATAACACTCCTTGCACTGCCAAATAACACCACAACTTAATAAGATATTTTGTTAACTAAAATACTTGAACTAAAAGGATTTTATTTATTACAACATTTGAACAATCGAGGGACAACTATAGATAAACAATTTAAACAATTATATCATAAAAAGCAAACAAAGCGACTAATATTTCTTGTACATAATAATTGTTAATTGAGGTATTAAGAAATACGTGAGAGCTGAGTAATTACATAATCATTAATGCTCTCATCTAACTCTAATTTAATAGAGAGACGGAGAGAAAGACTAAAAAGTAAAAAAAAAAACGCAATAAATGTTTATGAGCGTAAGAGAAGTTATTTTTAATGATAATGACAAAATCAACATCGTAGTACAAAATAGCTAAACACAAAAACACAACAAAACACAAAATCAATAATGCAGTAACAAAAAACACAAAATAAAACACAAAAACATAAACAACTATAAAAACTGGTTATACTATGCTACCAGTAAACAAAATTATTTTTACCTTAATTATGTAAAGGTCCAGCTTCTTCCTAACTGTTGACTAATGAAAAACAGAGTTAACTGCGTATCATAAAATTTTTTTGATACAACAGTTATCAAAAAAAAAAAAAAAATTAGATCTGAATTTAATAAAGATTTTAAAATAAATTTATTATGATTTAGTATAAAAATAAGATTTTCAATGATTTTTTAATTTTTTTTTACCGAATTTACCAATATATACGGAAAAATTATATATATATTTTTTTCCTAAATTATTTACGGTAAATTTAAAAGTTGGTAAAAGCTCTATTTTTAAAACACATCTTTTTTAATAATACATAGTACTTCATAAAAATAATAATAATAACAATACATAGTACTAATAATAATCATACTTCAGTTATTGCAGCATGACCTAGATAAGCTTAAATTATACAAATCAAAATTTAACTCTACAGTAAAAAAAGCATGCTTGCATAACTGTATTTGGAGTAGTAAGCTCTAAGTCTGCATGGCAGAATTTCTCTTATACAAACATAGAGCGTTAAATATTTATAAAATAAACATACATCTTTTTTAGTGTTTGTGTCAGGGCTGGGAAGCTGATTAAAAAATTCTTGAACTACGGAGCCTAATATTCTCAAACTTTTGCTCCAAGAATAGATCCGGAGCAATCGTTTTTTAAATGTGGCAATCTGGCTCAATCTCTAATATTAAATTTAATTTTAAAAATTTTAATGTTAATTTTTGGGCATCACCACCTCACTGAAAAGTTAATCCAAATGGAATTCTGTTACAGTAAGGCTCAAAATTTGAACTTTTAAAGTTTGAACATAAAGTGCGAAACTAGATCACAATAAAATATAAAATGCGAAATGTTTTTTGAGTTGCCCTAGCATTTTATTAACTATTGATGTGGTTGACTCTACTTGTGGTCTAAGGTTAAGGCTATTGGAGACCATCATACCAAGGTCTCGTTCAACTAAAGTCTTTTCGAATGGACGACACGTGCCATCGACGTTAGCCATTGAGTATATGCTATGTTACATAAAACAGTGATCTGGAGTGTTATTTATTATTACCATTTTACTATTTAATATTTTTTTGAGATTCTTGTTAAATTTTTTTTGACATTTAAAACTAAAAGATTAACGCAAAATATTCTACAAAAAAACAAAAACTAAAATTAAACTGTTGTTAAAGAATAATTTACTATTAATAGTAATAAAAATTATTTTAATTATTTATAAGATTTATAAAGACTATTTTTATAACTCAGGCCCGTAGAAACAAAAATTAAATTAGGGGTATGGGACACTACTACTTGATGTAGTTTTAAACATAGATTATCCTGGTCATATTTAAAATATCCGGAAAAAAATCCGGAAAAATATATTTAAGATATATCTGGAAAAATCTAGGATTAAAAAGAAAATCTCATTTGCTTGAAAAGAAAAGCTTTGGCAGGTATTCTTCTATATAAAAGAAAAGTAGTTTAATGCTTACTTAAATTAAACAAGAATTTTAAGTAGTCAAAATAATTAAAGTGATTTCTAAGTGCTGAGTATCTTAAATTGTCATTAAACTTACACAAAACTAAGTACATCTTATTCCACCCCAACCAAAAAAGAAAAGCTACCTATTC